CAGAGGCAGTGCAGTTGGCGCAGGATAGAGCAGGGTTTAGGGCTGTTGTGCATAGGGTCGCTATGAGTCGCAAACGACTCGACGGCACATAACAACAACACAACATGTTCAATAAACACTGTTACTGCAGAAGAATACCATACTGAATGCTTTTAGCAGAAAAAAACCCCAACATTGGTCAAACTCAAATACCAAAAATAAGAGATCAAAGACTTTCTTTGAATTCCCAACTTTAGCTTTCCAAAACCTTGAAATACCTGGCTTTATGGTACTGCCCATGTAGTTAATACTGCTGCTGAACCACATCTTAATGCCAATGATATTTGCCATGTACAGTGATGCAATCATTTGACTGACACAACACCTATAACTCTATAGCTGTTTTAGAGTATTTTTAAAAGAGTGAAATTACTGAATTTTAAGATTTTAACTACAGTAAAATAGGAGACAAATACCACACACGAAGTTAAATTTTACAGAGAAAACAGCAATTTAAGTTATAAATATATGTGTGTATATACATCCGTATATACTTATATAAGTATATGCCAATAAAATATATGTATTTCTAAATATTACTTTAATAGAGAAATTGTATTCTCATTTTAAAGAAAAGGATTATAAAGTAATCTATTTATACTTGTGAAAAGGATATAAAAATTTTGTGAAAGAAATGTAAGCATACTTTGCTATCAAATTGTAACAGTAATATGATAATTAAGAGAATACAGGTTTTTAAAATATTCCTTCTGTTACTATTAATTAAAATAATTAACATATTTTAAAGTAGTATGTCACACCATAGTGAAATTAATCTCTTTCTTGGTACCAAAAAGTCGGAGGTATGCGTCTAGAAAATAAATTAATTAAAACATTATATTTTAAAACTGGAAGGGCCTATCAATATATTGCATTAGCCATTAGTTTTGAACAGAAGAATAATGATATCAATATTGTTTGTCACAAAGAAACCAGTTATCAATGGGTGCTTTACTAAATTTTTCTGGGACAGCAGTAGCAAAAAAAAAAAGAAGGCTTAGCCATTCACTGTTTAATAGAAAACAACGCTCTGTAGGAGAAGACTGGACTGAACTGCTGGGCTTTCCTGGGCCTCTGTCTCCTCAGGCGGGTACATCTACACAACGTAATACTATGCAGCACTAAGGAACAATGATTTTTTAAAATACTGTATAGCATGGGAGAGTCTAGAGAGTATTATGCTAGTGAAATAATTCAGTCTCCTAAGGACAAGTGGTCCTATAAGACCATTATTGTAAAAAAAGAGAAGGATAACTGAGCACAATGTGTCTAAATGTTCAAAAGGTGGTGGGGAAAGAGGAAAGGGGCAGAAAAAGAGAAAGGAGGGAAATCACTATGATAGCAAAAGCTAGTGGGTGGGTGGGGAGTGAAGGAATAGGAAAGATTTAATGGAGACTTGGAAAGATGGGGCAAATAACAGGCCTAGATAAATATATAGCAGTTAATTCTATAAAATACAATGTATATTAATTATTCTCTAGTATCAAAGATTTATTATTCAAAATGTCTTTCCTACGATGAATAACTTTATTTTGGGCCAACTATTTATTGTATCAAGGAGAGTGGATTAAGAAGGGGTACAATCCTCATCTTATTAGAGGCTTTCTATCTTTCTCTTTTTGAGATATCTGCCTTTTCAGCTACACTGTAACTGATAGTCTCTAACAGTTACCAGTCTCTCCTGGTAGCACACCTGGCCAGCACACCTATAGTCATGTGAGTCATTCCCCTGACGGGTCCGAGTTTCTGTTCTAGCAATCCATAAAATCAAGGGACAGAGAGGAGGGAGGGCGCTCAACAAAGGAGGGGCTGCAGATGTCAGAAATCATGGAATTATACAGAAAAACACACATTTGGACAACGTTGCCTAGGCACTTCTTATAACTGTTCTGCTATTAATTTTAGCAGAATGAATTATGAAGGCAGGATGACAGAAGAAGAATTGGTGCACAATGTACATTAACAAAACACAATGTAAATGAAAGATTGTATAAAATATAATGCATATGCATGAAACACAAACTATATGATTGTATGCAAACCAAAAATATACACAAAAATTAAAAAATGAGAATAAGACAGTATGTATTAGAAACATCAAAAGGTTACCTGACTACTAGTTTCACTTATGGCTTCTAGAAGCTTTTCAACTGCTGCTTGTAGCCGAGAACTAATATTCAGCATAAATTCTTCATTTTCAGGATCGATTTCCGTTCCAGTCAAGCCAGTCCGCATGAGTCGCTGTGACAACTCTGTTCCTTCCTCAGTTACTTTTGACCACATGCTACTGTCATTTCTTTGCATATCACCTCCAGAGTAAGAGGATATGGATTCATCTGTAACTAGAACAACAACATTTAAAAGACATAAATGAATTAAAACAGTTTTAAGTAATTACAAAATAAAATACAATTAAGGTACAACATCACTAAAATAGGAAGCTCTTATAATGATAACACTGTGACAAAACAACATAGATTATGATTCCTGGTAAAATACAAAAAGCCAGAATGTAACATTATTCAAAAAAATGAAAAAGTAAATGAAGTCAAAGTGAGCAAGTCAAAGTGAAAAGATAATGTTATGCCAGTAGGGGTTTGAAGATATTAATGTTTGGGTTATGCAGTATTAGCTTACAAGCTGACTTTTAGCCATTACCTTAGGCCTCTCTGGTCTCCAACGACTTTAATTGTGGCATAGTTGTGCAAATCAGCAACAGCTGGAGGATGGATATAAGAGAGCACTCTCCACTGTGGGATGTGTATGAAAAACACCAAGATGGGGGGAGTGAGGGCAGTGCAACTGTGTTTAAGCATTCAGTGGAACCCAGCCTGGCCCACTGCTTGCCAGGTTCTTTGAAAAAACCTGCCTGTATATCTGCAGTTACATTGAGTCATTCCCCTGACTTGTTTGAGTCTCTATAGGACCTTCTACCAAACCTTTTCACCAAACCTCAAAAATCATAGAGGAATGGGGAAACTAAGATACCAATGGAGCTAGTAATACACGACATTATAGATTTATATGTTGTTATTGTTGTTATGTGCCATCGAGTCGCTTGCGACTCATAGCCACCCTATGTGCAACAGCCCTAAACTCTGCTCTGTCCTGTGCCAACTGCACTGTCTCTGACACTCTCATCCCAATTATCCCAGTCACTGAATCAATCCACCTCATAGAGGGCCTTCCTCTCCTGCGCTGTCCCTCCACCCTCCCAAGCATGATGTCCTTCTCCAAGGACCGGTCTCTCCTCACAACATGTCCAAAGTATGTTAGACAGAGCCTCAGAATCCTTGCCTCCAAGGAGTCACCCGGTATAACCCTTTCCAGGACAAATCTGTTTGTTTTCCTAGCAGTCCATGGTATTCTCAATACTCTTCTCCAGCACCACAGCTCAAAGGCATCAATTCTCCTTCTATCCTCCTTGGTCATTGTCCAACTCTCTGATGCATAACAAGTGATTGCGAAGACCATGGCCTATATCAGACGCACCTTAATCTCCAGAGAGACACCACTGTTCTTCAGTACTTTGGAAAGGTCCCTAACAGCAGACTCTCCCATGGCAATGTGCCTTTTAATTTCCTGGCTGCTGGTGCCAAGAGTGTTGACTGTGGAGCCAAGCAAATTGAAGCTGTGTACAAGCTCAATCTCTTCACCATCCATCCTGATGCTGCTGATTGGTCCAGTGGTGAGAATCTTTGTCTTCTTGACATTGAGCCTCAATCCATATTGGAGGCTGCAGTCCTTGACACTCTGCAGCAGGCGCTTCAGGTCCTCTTCAGTTTCAGCAAGCAGGGTTGTGCCATCCGCATAACGCAGACTGTTGATAAATCGTCCACCAATCTTGACCCCACATTTCTCCTCATAGAGCCCAGCCTCCCGGATAATCTGTTCTGCATATAGGTTGAAAAGGTATGGAGATAGGATGCATCCCTGGCGTACGCCCTTCCCAATTTTGAACCATGCAGTGTTCCCTTGCTCTGTTCTGACAACTGCCTCCTGGTCCAAGTATAGGTTTCACATTAGAACGATCAAGTGTTCTGGGATTCCCATTCTTCTCAGAGTCAGCCATAGTTTGTTATGATCTACACAGTCAAATGCCTTTGCAGAGTCAATGAAACACAGATAGACATTCTTCTGGTATTCCCTGCTTTCAGCCAAGATCCATCTAACATCAGCTACAATATCCCTAGTACCACGACCCCTTCTAAACCCAACCTGGACTACTGGCAGTTCTCTGTTGATGTGCTGTTCCAGTCGTTTTTGGATAATCTTCAGTAAAATCTTGCTTGCATGTGAAACCAGCGAGACTGTTCTGTAGTTTCCACATTCTGTTGGGTCACCTTTCTTTGGGATAGGAACAAATATCTGTCTCTTCCAGTCAGTTGGCCAAGTGGTTGTTCTCCAGATTTCTTGGCACAACTTGGTGAGCACGTCCAGGACAGCATCGGTTAACTGAAATATGTCAATTGGTATACCATCTATTCCTGGAGCCTTATTTTTTGCCACTTCCTTCAAAGCAGCCTGAACTACTTCTTTCATCACCATAGGCTCTTGCTCAGATGTTGTTTCATGAAATTCTTCTGTGTCTGCAAATTCCTTTCGATACAGTGACTCAGTACATTCCTTCCATCTTCTTTCAATACCTCCTGGATCATTTAACATTCTGCCAAAAGCATCCTTGATTATAGCAACTCGAGGTTTGAATTTGTTCTTCAGTTCCTTGAGCTTAAGATATGCTCAGCGAGTTCGGCCCTTTTGATTTTCTGACTCCAACTCCTTGCATATTTCATTGTAATATTTTGCTTTGTCATCCTATGCTGCCTTTTGAAATCTTCTATTCAACTCTTTAGTATCTTGAATTCTTCCTTGTGCTTTGGCTTCTCTGCGCTCCAGTGCAATTTTCAGAGTCTCTTCTGACATCCATTTTGGTCTTTTCTTCCTCTTAACTCCACAATAGATTTATATAATAGATTATAATTTATAATTATGCTGACTTGAGTCTTCTGATTAATAGTGTACTATCAATCTTCTTCTTGTTGTGTACCATCGAGTCAGAACTGAACCATATGACCCCCCTGGCAGGTTTTCAGAGACAGTCAATCACACAGGAGGAGACTGCCCATCCTCCTGTGAAGCAGCTGATGTTATGTCTCATCAAGTGGCTTGTGACTCATAGTGACCCTATGTACAATAGCCCTGAACCCTGTTCTATCTTGTGTGAACTTGACTGTCTCTGGCACACCTACCCTCATTACCCCAGCCACTGAATCAATCCATCTCATTGGTAGTCTTCCTCTCTTTCTCTGTCCCTCTACACTTCCAAGCACAATGTGCTTCTCCAAGGATTGGCCCCTCCCTGCAACATGCCCAAAGTATGTTAGACAAAGCTTCAGAATCCTTGCCTCCAAGGAGCAGCCTGGTTTCACCCTCTAAAGGATAAACTGTTTGTTCTCCTGGAAGTCCCTGGTATATTCAATACTCTGCTCCAGCAACACAGCTCAAGGGCCTCAATTTACTTATATTATTCCAAGTGTTGAAAATAGACTCTTCTGTTGTTCCGGCGTGCTATCGAGTCAGACTGGACCCACAGCTGAATCTCCAGTGGGTTTCCAGAGGCAAGAAATTGCACAGAAGGAGCCTGCTAATCTTTCTCCCACAGTAGCTGTGGATTAGAATGCCTTTGAGTTGGCAGCTCAGATTTTTCCATGTTTATGAATTGAAAATGATCTTAGAATTAAAAATTATTCAGATGCACAAAGAACAATCTAAAGTATACTGCAAAGTTACTAAATCAAACTAATGTCATCTAGAAAGTAAACGGCATGAAAGCTAAGGAAGAAATACTATTCTCTTTTAGTTGGTGCTTAAGTATTTTTTGTGATCTACAGAACTTTCTTAAGAGTGTCTTCCAAATATGAAAGTTAACCTAGTTTAAGTCTTACAGAACAGAAAATCCTCCCTCTGTTAGTAGATAAGCAAAACATTTATTCATGAAATAACTTTGGGCTGAATGATAAGGAGTTGTAATAGTAACCCAAAGAAACATGCTGCTCCATGGGAGAAACATGGGCAATCTCCTCCTGTGTGATTTACTGCCTCTGAAAACCTGCTGGAGGGTCAGCTATGAGTTGGTTCTGACTCAATGGTTAACAACAACAACAACATGAAAAGTTACAAATCAAATGTGTTTTCATTCAATCACTCATACACATTTTATTTTAACATTAATTACAAAATCCACAATGTAACCTCGATTATCTCACTTCCAGTAATTCTGATTTCTATTAATACTTCTATCTCTATCTGCTTTCAAGACTTTATCCTCAGGCAAATGCTACTCTTGACCTTAAATAGTTATGAAATAACTGTGTTTTTAAAAGTATAGGTTGATAAAATCTTCATCAAGAACAGTATGTAATATTCTTCTCAACACATCTTTATCTGAGGAACCAAACAAATTTTAGTGATATTTTCTTTTTTGTGGTTTCAAAGACAGGATGTGACTTAAAGACTCTGGGCAAAACACCTATGAGATTATCATCTAACGCCAGTAAGTATAGCAAAATTTAACCGAAGAGTAAACAACAAATGCTGGCAAGATTGTGGAGAAATTGGAACCCTTTTTCACTGTTGGTGGGAGTGTAAAATGATGCAACCACTATGGAAAGCTGTATAGCACTTTCTCAAAAAGTTGCAAATAGGAATACCATTTGACCCAGTAATTCCACTACTGGGAATATACCCTAAAGAAACCATAACCGCTATCCAAGCAGATAAACGTACACCCATGCTTAGTGTGGCTTTGATCACAATAGCAAAGAGTTGGAAACAACCCAAGTACCCATCAACAAACAAATGGATAGAGCAGCTCTGGTGTATTCACACAATGGAATACTATGCTGCATTGAAAAACAAGGAACTCATGAAATATTATACAAAATAGGTGGCCGTGGTGGACATTAGGCTGAGTGAAATATCTCAGTAACAAAGTACAAATATTGCATAGGGTCATTGTTGTAAAACGGGACTGACAACAAGGTTGAGGGAAGACTGTGAAAGAGGGGGATAAATTATACTGCATTGAAACAGATGAGGGAGATAACTGTTTAAAAGGGATATATGATTAGGTATTACTGTCATGGCAGGAGTCCAGAATAAAGGCTGCACAGTTTAATGGACTTGGGGGAAGGACTGTGTAACAATGAAAGAATTTTTCTTTTATTTTTCAAAGAGAAGAGTGTATTGGGCAGCAGGGAGAAAAGTGCAACAATGAATGAATGGAAAACCTAAGTCTTTGTAAACTTTCATTAAAATGAATTTTAAAAAGGCTCTATGTGGAGAAAAGTATGTAAAATAGAGATGAAGAAAGCAAGCTGGAAGGAGGGTCAACTCTCATGGCTGCTCCACGTGACCACTCAATGGGCTTTCAGAGACTGCAAATCACCTGGGAAGAAACTGCCCATTTTTCTCCCGTGGTGGTGCTGGTGATTCAAATCAGAAGAGACTTGGCCTTTGAGTTAGCAGCGCAACTCCTTACAGACTATGCTACTAGAAAGTCGGCCAATGGTTTTAAATTTCATAATTATTTACTTCATGGATTATATTCATTCCATGACAGACATAATAGGCCTCTCATATTAAACATGGAGGGCTTTATCAAAGTGCCTTACCTTCTTCCAACAGCCCTCTGACATTTCTTAGGTGAAAACCACTGACTCTAGTCTGACTCTTGTACCTGACCGAGGAGAAGTCTGAACTGAAGCTCTGGGACCTTCCAAGGTCACTAGGCAAGAATCAAGGTCTTCAGAGAACTGACCTATGATAATTTCTATAAACATGAATTGCTCGCAAAAGACGCTGCAGTGAATGAGATTAAATCTCTAGTTTTCTTGGGGACAGGTGGGCATTCTAATACTGAATCATCACAGGTTAGGGCTAAAAATTTTTTTTTCTTTAAATAGATTGTAAAGAACTCATTTTATGAACTGAGTCTAATATTTACTCAGATTCAAGTGATTTTACGTGACTCAAAATTTCTCTTTCTACAAACCAGGTTACTGTTATGAGGAAGCAAATATTAACACAGCAGTTATTTAATTTTTAGGAGAGGCTACAAGCCTATACATGTTCAAAATCAAAACAAGTTGAGACCTGAAGGCTAAAAATAGATCACAAGTGTTACTTACCACACAAAGCCAAAGCAATATATTAAAAATGGAAAAGCCAAAGGTGCTTTACAATTAATACTTAGTTGTTAAACTAATTAAGGTAACAAAGAAATACGTTAAAGTCTTATAGCTCCAGTAAAAATGTGAAGGACAATCAGCAAAAAATGTTTGCAAGCAGAGCACAGTGTCAGTAATTTAAAGCTAATATTTTTCAGGAGGGGGAAGGATGGGCAATCTCATGCTTAACAGCCTCTGAAAACTGCTGGAAGGTCAGCTATGTGTCAGTTCCTATTCTACAGTAGACAACAATATTTTTCCAAGGTTTATGAGACAACTGAAGGTTTTATATTAGAAATGTAATTAATTCAATATATCCTTCATGATGAAGAAGGGACCTGACAAATGCTCCCTGACGATATCATGGGTCATTCTAATTTTATTACTAAGACTAGCACATTACTGAATACAGAAACATAGAGTAAGGGGACAAAATATTGACACCATAACCAATGGTGCCGACACTAGCAAAATTATTATTTCTGTTAAAATGTTTTATAGGGAGCTTTTGGTACAAAAAAGCCTATTGGTAAGAAATTGCACTGTCAACACTAAGACACATGGTTTGAATCTGCCAAGTGTTCTGCAGGAGAAAGACGGGCAATCTCTTCCTGTGGGATTTAAAATCTCTGAACACCAGGGTCAGCCATGAGTTGGTTCTAGCTCGAAGGCATACAACAACAACAACAACAACACAAATGTTTTACAGATTTCTTAATTTTTCTTCTTGTACCTTAATAGAATGCTTTCATAATCAGTCAATAATTAAATATTTTAAAGGGAAGGTTCTTAAGAGGCTTGCTGTGTACCTTTAAGTCAGAACCGACTCATAGCTGACCCTCCAGCCGGTTTTCAGAGGCAGTTAATCGCAAAGGAACAGACTGCCCAACCTTCTCCCATGGAGCAGCTGGTGGCCTGAACCACTTGCCTTCATGCAGCTTTTTTGCCACTAGGTCACCAGAGTTGTTTAAATATATAGTGATTTTAAGTAAAACATTAAAAAATAGGACTCTATTACGCCTTGAATCAGACTCTCAATATCTTTCCCCACTAGATTATGTAGAGTGCATGGAGAAACTAACCAAGGGTTAACTGAAAAAATGAAAATCACTTATAGTTGAAATGCTATTATTGGGTATCTTAAAAATTGTTCATTTGTACTGGCAGATTCTGGTGGCCTAGTGCATAGAGAGTTGTGCTGCTAATGCAAACGCGAACACTTTGAATCCATGAACTACTCTGAGGAAGAAAGATGGACAATCTTGTCCCATGCGATTTACAACCCACTGATGGGTCAGCTATGAGTCGGTTCTGTCCTGACAGCAGTGAGTTGATGTAAGAATGTCAACTAAAAAATCAGATGTTCTTATTGAAAACCTCACAGAAAATGAACAGGGAACATAAACCCCTGCACTTGAGCTACAAGTCCAATTTTCTCTATAAATATTCTGGCAGCAGTCCACGTGGAGCTCTGCTATGAATGCCGGGGCTGCTCCCCCGGCAGTCTGAATCCACCAGTGGTGTGTCAGGAGAAGGCTGCACATTATCCTCCTGTGTGATTTACAGCTTTGGGAAACCCACTGGAGGGTCAGCTAGGAGCTGGTCCCAACTTGATGGCAATGAGTCTGAGACTGAAATATTCTGGAATTGAGTTTTCTGTTTTAGTTGGTTTGCCAAATACTTCAGCAACTAAGTTGAGAAACATTTAAGAGAACCATTTAGTTGTTTTTTGGTGCTAACAACAAAATGCAAAGTGCTTTTTGTGGCCTGCAGAATATTTCTCAGAACATTTTCAAAATATTAGAATCAATCTAGTCTCACCAGAAGAACAGCAAAATCCTCCCTTACGTAGTTAAGGGAGACAAATGTATCAAACAAATGTTTTTTAGCAAGCATACTTTAAAAAAGCATCATTAGGCACATCCATGTTTATTGCTGCTTTGTTCACAACAGTAAAGAGTTGGAAACAATCCAAGTGCCCATCAACAAACGAATGCATATAGAAGCTTTGGTATATTCACGCAATGGAATATTATGCAGCACTGAAAACCAAGGAACTCATGAAATATTACAAAATGGGTGACCATGGAGGATATTATACTGAGTGAAATATTTCAGTCACAAATAGACAAATACTGTATAATGCCACTGTTATAAAACAGGACCGATATGGGGGTTGGAGAGAAACTAAGAAAAGAGGGGATAAATAATGTACATGGCATTGAAACAAGACGAGGGAGAGAACTATATAAAAGGAACAAATGATTAGGTATTATTGGCATGACAAGAGTATAGAATAAGAGTTGCATAGTAAAGTGGTAGTGGGCGTGTGACTGTAAAACAATGAAAGAATTTTTTTCCAAAGAAAAAAATGAACTGGGGGGGAGGGGAGACAGGGAGGAAAATATGCAACAATGAATGAATGGAAATCCAAGTTCTTCATAAACTTTCATTAAAATTTAAAAAAAATTTAATAATTAAAAAAGAAGGAGAAAAGCATCATTTACACTTAAAACAAGAAAATATTACCTTATATTTTCAATATATCAAGATTATATGTAGAAATAAGAGAACCCTGACTGATTTTAAATACCTCTAAAAAGTTCCAAAAGGCCGAAATTCTAAAGGATTTAAAATATGACATTATTGCAGCTCTTATGTTTACAAGAAGGGGAGCTCTGTCAGCCTAGTGGTAGGAACTGTATTGCCAATCCAAAGGCAGTGGGTTTGAGTCTACCATCTGCATTGAAAAAGGCGGGCAAACTCCTCCCATAGATTTAGAGTCTTTGAAAACTCGCTGGAGGGTGAGCCAAGAGTCAGTTAGTTCAGTCTTAGTCAAAGACAAAGACCGTAACTTTTTCTTTTATTTTACTAGAAAGCAGTTTTTAAAAATGTATTTGAACTAAAGTGTTTTTAAGTCAATTTTACTTAAATTTTACTTAACATAGCAAGTTTTTCTCTGCGAATCGTCAATAGGTAAAATAATTTCTCATTTATCTGCATGAAACCTAACAAAAAGCATACTCTCAAAAAATGCACAAATTCTTGGCATTTTCTTAGAAAGTCATATAGCTGGGAGAAATGCCTGATGAACTGTGGATTTGATCAGACTCAGAAGCTCAGATTCTATTTTTCTCCAGCTAACAAAAACTTTGTCCCCTTTATTTCCTGATTCCTTCTCCCACAAGCAACTGTCTGGAAGCCAGCAATGTGACACTAAAATACGAGGTGGAAGGAAGATGGCCACGCCATGTCTAGACCTAATATCTATGTCCCAGCACATTCCGCCATATAACTTCAAATACCTTCTCAAGGAGAGTAAAAAGAATCGAGGAGAGGATAGTCCAAAGCTGGGATCAAAACCTGGGTTCCTTACATAGATTCTGTTTCAGACGAATGCCTCTAGTGTATGTATTTACATGTGGAGGTCCTTCTATAGTAAAATGCTTTAATATCATCTCTTCTGTCTTTCTAAAGCATAGCAAAGTTCCTTGAATTCTGCAAGATTTGTTGAAGATGATGATGACGACAGTTTCAACAGCATATAAAACTAGTACCTCCTGTGTGTTCCTCATGGACACATGACTTTATTGGTGTCTCTGCCTCAGACCTCCAAATCAGGCTGGTGGATGACTGTCCTTTACTAGATCTATCGAGAATCCCAAGGACATGACGACCAATTGTTTCTTCAACAGCTGCTGTTGTTTTTACAACTTCTAAGAGGATCTTCAGAAGTCTGTTATTAGCTTTCTGTAGTGCATACCTGTAAGAGACAAACACATTTATGAAAACGCTTTCATCTTTTCCAAGAAAACATTCTGCTTATGTCCTACAAAAAAGGTACTACAAAATATTTTATTTGAACAATAAAAATGTATGATCATCTAATAAAATAATATGTCAGAGAACCTAAAGTATTGTTTTCTTTTTACTATTTTATAAAAGGATTTGTTTTCTTCTGAAACGTTTTAGCCAGGGAATTTTAACGGTTAGGGGAAAAAAAATTCAAACTCTCAGCATTTTATTGACTAGAGAGCCACAGAATAACTAACATGCTAAGTCAGTAGTGTCTTTTAATTAGATGCAAAATTTCAATCTAAACACGTGGTAGAACACAGGCAGTGTAACTTATAGATCTAGTAATACTGTTGATGAGTATCCATTATATTAGGATCCATTAAATTATAATTGCCCAAAATAAATTATTGATCATATTATTGTATATTGTATGTATATATGTATTTTATCTTTTGTGTCAAGAACTATTTTAAAATTCCACTACAGAAAATAAGTGATAGTATTTCTACAACTTAATGACAATTATTCAGATGTTTAACTGACAAAAGGATAGTCTGATGGCAGTGTGACCAGTTTTTAAAGTCCTAGAATAGAGTTTCACTATCTGTTGATACCAGGGCTTCCTCGAATGGTTTTCTGTTACATTTGTTCCAATGAAAGACATTTCTCAAGTTACACTGAGGTCAGTACAAACAATCTCGCTTCCATCTAAATGGTGTTGTGGTGTGTCTGTTCTTTGGAAATACAAGTAATACACTCTTACTTTTTAAAAAATGAGAAAGCACTGCTAACAATTCTCTAAAAGATCTCAATATCCAGAGATAATCATTGGTTAGCATGTTAAACTTTATATGCTTCCCTGAACCAGTCTCGTACATACACTTTAAAACAAAAAAATGGTATTATCCTAGTCAAAGAGTTTTGTGAACCCTCTTTTTTTGCTCAAAATAAAATTTTTCCATGCCAAGAGATACACTTTTACAAACAGTGATTCAGATTAATCTTTTGAATAACTACATAACTCTCTCACATCAACAGCTTAATTCAACAAAGACACTACAGTGGCAAGCTTTATATATTTAACACATAGATAAAATAAGATTTTTGTGGTAATTAATCTCTGCCTGAAAGTTTTTCTCTCAACTTTATATTGTCAGAGATCACTGACAATCAGATGAAAGGATATCAGTTTTCTAAGGCACATGACATACCTATTTTAAGACAAGATAATAAATGGAGAGATTTTCCTTCAGTATTTGTCCAGTGAAAGAGACTGTTCTATTTTTACAGTGAGATCAAATTCTCGGCTTTCATAGGCAAGGGTATTAAAAATAATACTCTAAATAATTTAGTTAGTAGGAAGTAAGTCAAGGGTTTTAGTTTTTCAACTTTTTCTTAAGTTGAATTCTAGTTATAAATACCAAAAAAAGGTAATTTGAAAATATTTCTACTTATTAAAAAATTCTTAAAATTAATGACAGTAAAAAAATAAATACAAATACTTTATTAGCACTCATAAGAAAAATGTCTAAAAATTAAATACTGTATAATTTTTAAAACATACCAATTAGAGACAAATAATAGAAAAAGAACAATATAAAATAAACATAATGTTTATTTTATGTTGTTATAGTAGCTCTAATTTTCATACACTGTCTTTCTTGTTTGAGTTCCATACTGACTGTGTTCCATACTGATGATCCAATGGGGAAGCCAAAATCTTAGGGGCCAAATTCCTCCATGCAAGCTGAGGAAGGAGGTTAGGAGGACACGAGAGGGTTGACAGTCACAGAAATTGGAAAAGGAGGAAATTAAGTTAGTAGAAAATTAGTCTGAGTTTAATATCAAACTTCATTTGAACAAAACTAATTTAAGAATACTGTGCTTAAAGTTCTTAATATGGGATAATTATTCTCATTTTTTTACATTAACACCAAATCAAAGTAAGGAAAAGTTTTTTATCATCAGAAGATGTATCTCTTTCTCTAAGAACTAGATTAAAAGTTCCTATTTGCTAAGTAGTAAGTATAGCGTTTTAATAAAATTAAATGTGAGAAATTAATATTTATAATATTTTTTTCCTAAGTCTAAGGAAATTAGGGAGCATCACTGGCTGAACTCCATAACGGGAAGGAATAAACTCATTAGTACAAGTGTATTTTTTAGGATACAAAACCAGCCTATGAGAAGAATACAATTAAGAATGGCTCAACAAAGTAATATTATTACCAACTTAAGTCCATCATCAATATAGGAAATAAAAATTATTTTATATAAAAAAGCACTTTTAAAATTATTTTTTATATTTTAATAATTAAAACCTGATTACCCTTTATGTAATATACATATATGGGCATCTTTCACACACAAATAGTAAAGATTTTTAAGATAAAGATACGAAATAAAAAAACAAAACAAGACAGTAAAGCTTTAAAATATCAAAACAACCACTTCAGCTCGTTTTGTACACACTGTATATACCTTTCATTGGATAGAATATCAGGAGGTACATCTTCCAGTTTTCTTTCCAATTCCTTTTCCTTAAAGGTCTGTTCCTCAACTTCCCCTTGATTTTCATTTCCATTCTGTTTCAGTTTGTGCAAAGGTAGAGAGGATAGGATAGAAAGGAAACCTGTCATCTTAGATGCAGCACGTCATTCTTTCACATTGTTAATGGGGTAAAACCGAAACCTCTATTCACAAAATAGATAGATACTCTCTGAAATAATAATTAACTATATTTTATCAAGAGATAAGTTATCAAAAGAGGACAAAACAGTCTAGTGCACAAATGAAAAAACTGTAATAGAATCAAGTTAATGCATACTACGGCCCAACAGTAAAGTCTGTGAGATTGTTCCTTAGTGGAACAACAGTTGCTATTAGAGCAATGTCATATTCAAGTCACTTTAAATAGAATGTAAGGCATTCTGACTCCACCTACCTTACATGTAAGCAATCACAAATATGTAATCTCAGTACCTATTAAAAAATACATCTCACACCACCAACAAACACAAACACATCCTACTGAATAGTCGATCCATTGCTCCTGGGGGGACAAAGTCCACACTACCTGTGTTTGCGTACTGCTGTTGCGCAGCTCACAACACAGCTTCTCTCTTCCAGCTAAAGATAGCTGCTTTAGTGTTTCCAGCTCCTCTAAAAGCACCCTCTCTCTTTCTGAAACCAGGTTTTCATTATCTACTGAGGATCTCTAAATAAGGAAAAAAGGTCATGAGAGAATATTGTTTGTGATAGAGGAAAAAAAGCAGAATTATTAGATTTCTTTTAACCCCTTGGGAAGGCCCTGGTTTTATCTATGAATCATACCCATTAAACCAAACCCACTGTTATTAAGTTACTAGTGACTCATAGCAGCCCTACTGGACAGAGTAGAACTGCCCAACAGGGCTTCAAAGACTAAACCTTTACAGAAACAGTTTGCCATATTTTACTGCCATGGAGCTGCTGGGAGGTTCGAACTGCTGACCTTTCAGTTAGCAGTAAAGAACTTAACCAGTGTGTCACCAGGCCAGATTAGTCTTCCATGATAAGGGGTTAAAAGCATATATATAATTCAATGCAAAATTTGAAATTAAAAATTATAACTAAATATTCAGAAAATTGTGTAGCCCACTTAATATTATTTTATATGTTAATTTTGCATTGAAATTTCAGAAATCTGAATTAACAAAATACAATGTGGAAAAGCAAAATTAAATTCTCCAAATGATATATTTTAGTCTCAATTCTACTATTAAAATATATTTGAAAATTCCATTATAAGAGTTCTTTACTCTCCTTTGGCTATAGCTGTCAAAATTGCCATCAACAAGTTTGTTTTTTAAAGAAATTATAAAACTTCTCTAAAAGATCAACATTTCTTGCTTTTCCTCAATGATTTTGTGAGTATAATATGTATATATACATTTGATAATTGTCAAGAATCCAGTTCCCAAATACCAAGGATTTCAATTTAGTGAAGAGAAAGAATAAGAATGTTATATAAATTTACATTTTTAAAATCAAGGAGAGATGTTTTCCGGGAGAAAGTTCCAGAAACATATTATGTCAGAAGATTTCCATTCATGATTAAAAAGATAGACTGAAGATAGAGAGGGGTAAACCTTGGCTTACTGGTGAACTCAACAAAAACTAATACGGAAAATGGAATAGTACCAATTGTATTCTGGAGCACCTCAGCACAAAGTATATATCTAAAAACTGCCCAGGTGTTTTTGCCATGTATAGTCAATAGAATGCTTAAACATCAACAAGACAACTACCTTGTAACCCCTTTTCCAGGGCCTGGAAAGGCAGTTAAGAAAGAAAACAATGCACACTGCAAGGCTGAGTTTTAGGTGCCCTTAACAAGACCTATTGACACTGTGCTGCTGGAGCTTGTTCCTTATGTTAAATATTCATAGCTTTTGGTGGGATAATTTTACCTTTTTTTTAAAATGTTAAATGTAGACTACTCCTATTTTGAATGGGGGAGGGAATGGAGTAGTCCCTTTTCATACCTGGGCTAATTGCCTATTAAGTCTCCTTATCTCTTCTTGTAGTTGTTCCTGGTCTTCTCGTTGTCGCTCCATCTGGTGCATGTGTGCCTGCCTCAGAAGTTCTGTTGCCTGTTGGTGTTCTTCATATTGCCTTACAAGTTCCTGCCTCATATCTTCCAGTTGCTCTTCATTTAACATTAGCTGTCTAGAAGCATCTATGCTTGATACCAAAATTTCATCATGGATCTATAAACAGCAAAAATAAGTAAGAATTCAATAGTTACACATCCTATGGAAATTCGTCAGCACTACTATTAAGTAGCAAAACACCTCCAATGCAAATTCCATGAAGTAATCTAACTTTTTATGCCAACTATTAAACTAAGGCATAGTTTATTTTTAAATTACATGCGTACATTAACGTGAAGTTACTTTATTATTATACATTATTTTCCAAAAGCAAAGAATTCTTTTTGAAACTCAGTATTAATTCAAATATCATTTCATCCCAAGGCAGGAGAATAAAGAGTGGGAAAAGTTCTTCTACTCTTAAGGAGAAGCTGCTGTCATGAAGTATCTCCTCTCAGCTCTGACTCACAGTAGCCCCGTGTTCAACAGGAGGAAATCTTGCCCGTTTCTACACCAGCCTCACAATCTCTACTGTGTCACTGTGTCAACCCATCTCCATGATGGTCTTCTACTTTTTCAAGGATCCTCTATTTTTATTTCCAAAGGGCTAGGAATTAGGGTTGCATTCTTTCTCCATGTCCATTCAATCTGTACTTGATGTGCTATTAGGAATGGAGAAAGATTCATTTACAACCTATGTTTATGCAGATGACACAACCTTGTTCGCTAAAAGTGAGGAAAAATTCAAGTATTTACTGCAGAAGATAAAATTTACTGCCTTAATTATTATGGGTTACATCAATAAAACAAAAATCCTCACCACTGGACCAATATACAACATCATGATAGATGGGAGAAAAGATTGAAGTTGTCAATTATTTCATTTCACTTGGATCCACAAATAGAATCCTTGGTAGCACAGTCTTGAAATCAAAAGATACACTGCATTGGTGAAATCTGCTGTCATATGGACTTCTCCAAAGATGAAAGATCAAAGATGTGCTTTTAAAAAGTACTAAAGTGTGCCTGACCCATGCCATGGTATTTTCTTTCTTTTTTTTTTTTTTAATGGAAGTTTATAGAGAACTTGGATTTCCATTCATTCATTGTTGCACATTTTCCTCCCTGACTCCCCTCCTCTCCACCCCCAGTTTGCTTTTTCTTTGGAAAAAAAATCTTATTGTACAATCCTCCCCAGTACTTTACGATGCAGCTCTTATTCTGGACTGTAGTCATGCAAATACTACTTAATCATATATTCCTTTTAAGCAGTTCTTTCCCTCATCTGTTTCAATGCAGTGTACATCATTTATCCCCTCTTAGTTTACACTCCAACCCCCTTGTCAGTCTTGTTTTATAGCAGTGGCATTATGCAGTAATTGTCCTTTCGTAACTGAGATATTTCAGCATAATGTCCTCCAGGATCATCCATTTTGTATAGTTTTTCATGAGTTCCTTGTTTTTCAGAGCTGCATAGTATTCCATGGTGTGAATATTCCATAGCTTCTCTATCTGTTTGATGGGCACTTGGGTTGTTTCCGTACCTTTGCTATTATGAACAAATGCAGCAATAAACATGGGTGTGCATGTATCTGTTTTGGGTGGCAATTCTGATTTCTTTAGGGTATATTCCCAGTAATGGAACTGCTGGGTTAAATGGTATTTCTATTTCCAACTTTTTGAGAAAGCATCATACTGCCTTCCAGAATGGTTGCACTTGATCCTCTATTTTTCTAAGCATGATGTCCTTCTCCACAGACTGACATTTCCCAGAACACTTCTTCCAAGACAGATTTGTTTGTTCTTTTGGCAGTCACGATATATTTAATAGTCTTAGCCAATACCACAATTCAAAGGCATCAAATCTCCTTTGATCTTCCTTATTCACTGTCCAACTTTCACATGCACGTTTGTTGTTGTTGTTATGTGCCGTCGAGTCGCTTGCGACTCATAGCAACCCTATGTACAACAGCCCTAAACTCCGCTCTGTCCTGTGCCAATCGCACTGTCTCTGACACTCCCATCGCAAAAATCCCAGTCACTGAATCAATCCACCTCACAGAGGGCCTTCCTCTCTTGCGCTGTCCCTCCACCCTCCCAAGCATGATGTCCCTATCCAAGGACCGGTCTCTCCTCACAACATGTCCAAAGTATGTTAGACGGAGCCTCAGAATCCTTGCCTCCAAGGAGCCACCCGGTTTAACCCTTTCTAGGACAAATCTGTTTGTTTTCCTAGCAGTCCATGGTATTCTCAATACTCTTCTCCAGCACCACAACTCAAAGGCATCAATTCTCCTTCTATCCTCCTTGGTCATTGTCCAACTCTCTGATGCATAACAGGTGACTGCAAAGACCATGGCCTGTATCAGACACACCTTAGTCTCCAAAGAGACACCATTGCTCTTCAGCACTTTGGAGAAGTCCCTAACAGCAGACTTTCCCATGGCAATGCGCCTTTTAATTTCCTGGCTGCTGGTGCCAAGACTGTTGACTACGGAGCCAAGCAAACTAAAGCTGTGTACAATCTCAATCTCTTCACCATCCATCCTGATGCTGCCAATTGGTCCATGCATATGAGGCAAATGAAAATACTTTGACTTTTGTAAAGTCAATGGAAGGTCTTATGATCTGGAATCAACTCAACAACAGTGGGTTTTGTGTTAAGTTAACCTTAGTCTTTAGAGTAAGAACTCTACTGTTAAAAAATATAGAGATTCTTGGAAAAAGAATGTCCTTTTACTTATTTTTTTTTTGCGGGGAAAAAGTTTTACTATTTCCATTTGGTCCAAGGCATGGGCAAAGGGGCTCCTGGGTAGAAATGACTCGGCTCCAGGATAGAAAGGAGAAGCTTGCTGCTGATGGCAGAGGAATACAGAGGTTCCCAAAGATCCTAGTTATGCATGAGGGTAAGTCATTGAAAGAGATCCTCTTGCCTAGCCCTACCTGTGGACTGCACAGTCTTCAAAGGCTGGCCAGATAATCACCCATCTTGAGCTTCAGCAGTTTCAGTGGAAGAAGGAAGTGGCTCTGCAGAAAGTCACACTGATGGTAGAAACCAGAGAATTGAGATCCACGGAGCCTAGTTCAAGTTCTTCTCCAAGGACCGGGCTGCTTCCATGGTGTCCAGGGTTCTCCCACACTTATCCTGGGATGATCGCTGTATGTCTTAGAATAAGATACTGTCAGCATCCTGGTTTTGCAGCTTCAAGAGATGTTCAGCACCCTTGGCTTTTCCTTTGTTAACTGGGGGAAGAAGTGTCCCACACATTCCAAGGTGTTCTTCTACTTAGTTGTGGTAGAAATAAAAATCCAGTGTGGGGGCTGCATTCAGACTGACCAGATGGTGAATGCTGGCTTCCACTTGCATGGAATACTAATGATGGATCTGAGAACTGATTGGTGGTTGAAGATTTGGAGTAAAAAACAAACAAAAAAAGGTGTTACTCCTTTCATTTCTTGACTACTGCTTCCATGGGTGCTAATTATGGGTTCAAATAAAATAAAATCTTTGACAACTTAAATCTTTTCTCCATTTATCATGGTACTATTTATTTATACCTCTAGATTTTTATTTTCTTTACAGTGAGGTGCAACTCATATTGAAAGTTACAGTCTTTGAGCTTCCTCAAAAAGAAACCCCATCGTCTTACTTATCTACAAGCAAAGCTGCAAAAGCTGCTGCTGCTGAATCTTGATGATGTCAAATTCTTCTTCATATAATGCAGCTTCCTAGATTCTTTGCTCTGCATACGGACTGAATAGGCAAGGTCAAACCAAACATCCCTGATGGATACTTTTCCCAATTTGAAAGAAAGCAGTCTCTTTTGTTCTGTTTAAGCAACTGCTTCTTAACCTATGTATATGTTTTACATAAGCACAATTACGTGTTCTGGAATCTATCTTTTCTCAATGTCATCAATAATTTATTATGACATATAGAGTAAACATCTTTCTGACATCCTTTCCTTTCAACCAAGATCTGTAATGTTTTTGTTCTCACGGTGTCCCTCATTCCACAGAATCTCTGAATCTAGCTGACTTTCTAGCAGTTCTTTGTCAATGTGCTACTCCAGCTTTTTTTTTTAAAAGAAATGCTGAGCGAGTTTGGCCCTTTTAAAAAAAATTTTATTTTATTTTATTATTTTTTGTGTGTGTACCGTCAAATTGGATCTGACTTGTACAGGAGGAGATGGCCCCTCCTTCTCTGCTAACGCATCTGGTGGATTCGAACTGCATATCTCTGGGATTGCAGTGGCTACTCCAGCTTTTAAAAAAATAATCTGCAAAATGATTTTGTGTGTGATATTAATATTATCCTGTAATTTCCATATTCTGTTAAATCATCACTTTTTGGGAAAAGGCAAAATTATGTATCTCTTTTCAGTTGGCCAGGTAAGCAGTCTTGGCATAGATGTGTGGCCAGTCAGGACTGCATCTGTTTGTGGAAATACCTCAAAAGGTCTTCTGCCCATTTTCTAGAGCCTGGACCTCCTTCTTCTGTATCACTGATCTGCAACATATACAACCTCCTGAAACAGCTGGATACTGACCAATTCTTACTGATACAGTTACTCTATGTCTTCCTTTCATCTTCATTTGATGCTGCCTGCTTCATTCACTATCTTGCCCAGTGAATCATCCAGTCTTGCAACTCAAAGCCTGACTCTTTTCTTCAGAATAAACATGTTCTTCCTATTTGATGCCCTAACTCCAAGTCTTTGCACATTTCATTGTAACAGTTCACTTTGCCTTCTTCAGCTGTCCTTTGAAATCTGTCCAGTTCTTACCATTTCTCTTCACTTTAGCTTTTCAGTGTTCAAGAGCAAGTTTCAGAGTCTCCGCTGCCTTCAATTTTGTTTTCTTAATGAACTTTTGCTATTTTCATACACAACGCCGCCACTTTGTCATACTGTGGTGGCTTATATGTTGTTGTGATGCTGGAAGCTATGCTCTGGGGATTTAAAATACCAGCAGGATCACCCATGGTGGTCAAGTTTCAGCAGAGCTTCCAAACCAAGACAGACTAAGTAGGAGGACTGGCAATACATTTCTGAAAGAACAGGCCATCAAAAACCCTATTAATAATATGGACTGTCAAAAGGCCAAACAAATCCGCCGTTGAGAAGTGCAACTGGTGCTCCTAAGAGGCAAGGCAAAACTTTGATTAGCTTATTTAATAAGTGCTTCAAGTCCCTGTCACTGTCAGCAACAATGCTGTGCCATCTGCACAACACAAGCTGCTGCTGAATCTTTCTCCCATCCTGAAGCTAGACTCTTCTAAAGTAGCCAGCTTTTCAGATTATTTACTCAGCATACACACTGAGTTGGTATGGCAAAAGGAAACAGCTCTAAAACAAACCTGGATTTTAAACCACGCACAAGAATCTTTGTGCAAACAACTGGTCTGTACAGTTTTCATAAGAGGATAAAAACATGTTCTGGGACTCTTACTCAATGTTAAAAATAACTTATTATGAAACACACAATTGAAAGTTTTTGGCATTCATTAAAAATAAACATCTTTCTGATATCCATCTGTCACCAGCAATGGCATCCCTTGTTCCACAGCATCCTTTGGTGTCAATCTTTACGTATTCAGTTTCATGTTTTATAACCCCTAATTTTCCTGGATTCATATTTCACACTTCTACAGTCCAATGATTAGGGATGTCTGTAACTGTTTCTTCTCATTAGTAAATTAAGGTCCTCCATGGGCTGAAAGTTTTACTCCTTTCACTTCATGAAAGTCGATTTACAATGATGAGCAGCTCTCCACCTATCTAATTTTGAAGGACTTTCAACATGAGAGCCTTATTTTTCAGAACTGTACCAGACAGTGTTATGCTGCTATCCACAGTTTTCAAAGACCTATTATTTCAGAAGTGAATGTCCCAATCATACTGTCTAAGGTCTAAGATATATTTCTAATCTGAAATTTCCACTGAAGTTTATCCCCCAGAAGTGACCCTACTGGTATTTGAAATAGTACTGACATAGTTTACAGTATCATAGCAACACATAAGTCATCACACTAAGAAAAACGACAGCCAAGTGGTGGGAAGGAGTTCGAGCTATAACTTTACCATTTCTCTTGACATTGTGACAGAGAAATAGTATGAATAAGACATTTTTTAAAAATTGAATATATATAACATGAGACATTTTCCCATTTAATTTACATTATGCAGTTATTATTATTACAGTACTCTAGGGAGCTCTGGTGGCTTAGTGTTAAGGAACTATGCTGCCAACACAATGGTTCAAATCCACCAGGTGCTCCGCAGGAGAAAGACAGGCAGTCTCCTCGCATGCAGTCTGCTGCCTATGACAAACTGCTGAAGAGTCACCTATGGGTTGGTTCTAACATGACAGTACTAAACAACAACAATTACAGTACCACAGCGGAAAGTTTGAAAAAAAATTATCAATAAATTTTATTTGGAAATAAAAGGATTCATATTATACAGTTTATCACACTCATAAAAGTGAACACCTTACTGGGTTTTGAGAAGCACTTCAGTTCATAAAGAGGTAGTATTTAAATGAACCATTTTACCTCAAACAGTTGTTAATAAATAAGAGCATGTACAAGAATACTTGACCAAATTGTAATTTGATCAAAAAATAAGGATACTTTTATTTTAATACGCTGCTACACAAGCCATAATCTAGCTAACACTGTAATAAAAAATTAATTTAGGTATAATAATAAAGAAATGTTAATTTTACAACTGAGATTTATTACTTCTGTTAAAAGCACAATAAAGTTAAAGAGACAGAGAATAAGGCCTTCCATTAATAAATAAGGCATCATATACTGCACTGAAGCAGAGGAGGGAGAGAACCGTCTAAAAGAGAGATGTAACTGGGTATTTCTGTCATCACAGGAGACTAGAGCGAGGGCTA